CTAGAAGGCGTGTAAGGGAAAACAGCCGATTTGCTGCAATCATACCTCCATCCCCCTTGCACTCCGTTTGGCTATGTAACGGGTATCTAATAGTCCTCCATCGACTATAGCGTTTTCTTTGTTTTTTAGGTGATTTACTAAAGCATTAAAATTAACTACTGTAGAAAACTTTTCTAGTCCCAGAAAATAAAAACAAGGAAGAACGCTATAGTCGAGTACCTCGACTATCAGATACCCGTTACTCAAAGGGAAATGGAGATATGCAAGCAGCAAAGCGAAATTAAAATGCGCCACCTACCGGCGGTAGACAGATTTAAGCGTTATGGGCGTTAGAGTGGGCGTGGCAAATTTATTTTTGAATCAATCGATAGGTATTGACGACACCAATACATTTCAGTTAAAATTTTTTATCTAGCATCCAAATTGTGGGCGTCACAGGTTTTCGCGGTTTGTGGGCGTTTAAGTGGGCGTGGCAAACTTTTTTTTAGGTCAATCGATAGGTGTTGATGAGAACAATACATTTCAGTTAAAATTTTCTATCTAGCATCAAAACTGTAGGAGTTACAGTTTTGGGCGGTTTGTGGGCGTTAGAGTGGGCGTGGCAGTCTACTGAAACAAACTTGCGCTGCGTAAGAAGCTCAGGAATCTGTACGCCAAATCTCAATAGCCTAGCTCTCATAGTTTCCGAGATCTCAGCGTTCATCCGGACAGACAGACGGACAGACGGACAGACGGACAGACGGACATGGCTAGATCGACTCGGCTAGTGATCCTGATCAAGAATATATATACTTTATGGGGTCGGAAACGCTTCCTTCTGCCTGTTACATACTTTCCGACGAATCTAGTATACCCTTTTACTCTACGAGTAACGGGTATAATTATGGCCAAAGGAAACTACTCGCTGATAATGGAGTATTTTTCTGAGTGCTGTTCGCCCTTTGCTTCTTCCAAGGAGCAGTCGTTGCACAAATGGGCCGATGCAATCAGTCTCCAGGAACGGATGCAGCCAGGTGGCGTGCCGTGGCGTGGGGCCACTCCAAAGAGCAATCGATCGAAAGGAATGCCAATTATAGAATGCCCCAGATGGACAGTAATTTGCATTGCTGGTCAAAGCCGGAACACTCCAGCTGCAGTTTGAAGCAGTTGCAATCGGATTGGGAATCAATTTGGGTGTGGGACCGACTATCATTGGCCAAAAACTTTTCAAAGGCGAAATAGTTGGTGCAAATATTCGGAACTCTTGCAATTCCTGTGGCAAATAAGCTCTTTTGGGGCTGTCCTTCCCTCGATGGCCATGACACGTGCCTGGAACTGAAACTATTTGGGGATTGCTCATACGCACTGTTGCACCTTGGGCATTTACGGCCTGCCTATTCTCGTTGAGATCCACTAGCATTCTCTTGGTGCAATCGACTGTGTCTTTCGCCCCCTCCATCCATCGATTTGTCGCCAAGCAAAAGGAGCGTTATACCCAAATCGATGGTTGATTTCTGGCAGTTTTGAATCGCTAATTGCCGTTTCTCATTTCCCGTGCAACGTTTTTGCCAGACAACCTAGGGCAATTTTGAATTTTGCGCGCCGCGGAAGCGGAAACCGGCGGCAGTCGCACAAAATAATGGCTAAAAGAAGGCAAAGGAAATCGGAACACACTTGCCTCTCACGTCTTGACTTTAAATGTGGAGCATTTGCGGATAATTTATGAATTCTGTGCCACTTCAGATGGTCTTTGATGTCGCTAACGGCTCTCCATTTGGCACACAGTCTGAGGTATGTATACACGAGCATAAACACCGAGCAGTCACTTTGACCTGGTCTAGGCTCCATCGACCCGTGACTTCCATTGTTCTTGCTTTCCCTGCAAGTCTTCTGAAGGTGCGAGTGCTGCGGGCGTTTTCCCACGACAGCCGGCTTTAATGGACGAGAAAAAGGCGTGGCAAGGGGGCCGGCGAAGTTGGCAAGTGTCGACAAGTAAGTAACGATGGCACTGCAAGACCCAGCCCATCAAGAAGAAGGCGGTGGTACACATCAGTGCTCCAGTGGACACCATGCAGCTGCGGAGCCTACCCAGGCCACTTAAGTGCCGCCCAGGTGGGTGGGTTCAACTTTCAGGACAAACTTTGCTCTTTTCCCATGCAGCTGGCACAAGTTTTGTGCAGCCACCGTTCTTGCGATCCCTTCCATTAAAATCTCCTCAGTTGGTAACGCCCCAAGTAGCAACATGTTGCGGCAGCATGTTTCCGGAGCACTTTCTCGGGGTTTTGATAACTAATTGGGTCTGAGTCAGCAGGGGAATCGGGGAGGAGCGTTCCACCCCCGAGCAAAGCAACGGCATAGGACATAACCCTTACCTCCTGCGATATCTTGAAGTTCCTTTGTTTCGACCCGAGAGTGCCTCTCCGCGGGGCCAACAAACAAATAAACAACGAATTGAAAAAGTAAAGCTGTGCAAATCAATGAAACTGGCTGCTTATCCCCCCAGGCATGAATAGCACCAAAATAATTAAATCAAAAATGCTCTTTTCATTTCCGTACCCCCGCCCCGAACAGCAAATCACGCTCCTTTCATTAAAATAGTTCCCTGACTCCGTCAGCCGGAATCGCAATCGGAATGGTAATGGTAATGGGAATCGTGTTGTGGGCGGCGTGGGCGTCATGACCTCAGTTCCCTCGTGATTGCTTCGATTGCTTGTTAATCATTCGCATGTTGGTCAACAATGTCTGATGCCCCATGAAGGCCAAAACGACGCCTGCCAGCCGTAAAGCGATTTTTATCGCCCAGCTTAGCAGGGCCTTATGCAAAGCACACACAGGGAAAAACAATATAGCCGAATATCTGTCACTAGGGACTTAAAATAATCGTAAAATACGATTAGATTGATATAAAAACGGGAGACTGAATCCCGGCGTATTTAATATGAGCTTTTGATTTATTTTTATATTAAGTATAATAATCTTTAAATTACATGTTCTTTGACTTACTACGAGTATAAGTAAGGATTACTAGGGATTACTCTTTGTTAAATAGGAAAATTATACGATTTGGGCCACTTCAACATTCCTGCAAAGCTGATGAGAGTTTATTTAAATTTTGAGAATCCAAAAGTAACTTAGGTGAAGAAATTTCAATAACTATATATTATCAAGTATAGTATCGTGGTATTTCTTTTTTTCTGGGTGATGGCTGGCTGAGAGCTACTCCTGGAGGGGCGCCTACATTATTTTCCCTTCCCCTTTGGGCGACGTTCAACGACAAATGTCTTTCATTTACGCGTAATAAAAACGAAATCTCCGTTGAACAATGGCCGCCGGGCGGCTTTTGCAGCGGCGGGAAAGTGGGTGTGTACGATGGCAAAAGCACCATAACTTGTTGTTCTTCCCGTATACTTTGCGGCTGCCTCAAGTGTATTTTACGTTATTTTGTATTTAATTTACAGCCCAAGTTCCCCCGGGACATTATCGAGCTATGAGGAAGTGTTGTTCCTCCTACTTTCCCACATTCGTGGAGGCGGGAAATGTGGGAAAACTGGTGTGCGGCTCTTAATGGCATAAAAGTATAAGCCATACATGTTGATTACACGGCAAAGTCGCTTAAATATGCATGAGCCGCGGCCGAAAGCGCATTGAATTTAAAACGCATAGAATGTCTTCGGGTCCTGCTGGAGGACACCGGAGAGTCCTGGGGGTACGGGCAGGGCGTATTTGTTCCCAGAAGTCCTCGAGTGTCTGTAAGTGGCGCAGAGCGGTTGGAGACAGCGCGGATGAGGAGGAAGTTTGCCGGCTTTGTGGGGCAAAGTGGATAAGTTAAATACATTTCCACTCGAGATGGATATACTCATTTGATGGCGAATAGCACTGGCACAAGCCACTCAAGGCTCTCAATGTTTATCCGGGCGCACACTCCGCAGATTAATTAGGGAATTAAGTGCAAGGCAAACGCAGTACTCGAGATCTGTGACATTTTCAGGCTCAATCGATGGGGAAAATGCCAATTGTTCTACTTCAATCGGAATACCAAAGTATAAAAATCTGTATATTTAAAGGAACGATATATAAAGGAAGTTTTTTCTCTAAATCTGGTGGCTGGACATCCGGCAAGTTGTTATTTTCCGCACTAATGGACATTTATGTCCTTATTCATTGAGGTCGTGGGCGCGCCCCACGCCATTAATACTCATTGCCAGTGGGTGCGTGGGTGGCGGTTGAGCCTCCCCAGCCGCCAACTGCAGTTGATTTTCCTGCCCCCCATTCCCCATTCCCCATTCCCCATCCCGCATCCTGCGGCTTTGTGCTCCCGTCAGTCAGCATGTCGTAACTAGATGCCACAGAACACACATGCGCACACATATCCTGCGTCTGCGGCAGCCGGAATAAAATGGAGCATTAAATTATCCACAAAGAGATCCGATTTCCGTAACGCCAAGCTCCGTCCCCGTCCCCGTCCCATCCCCACTGGACATTGTTTCGGGCCACAAAAGGCATTTATCAGATTTGCATGCACAAACACGCGCTTGTTCGTTGCTGCGCTGCATCCACAGGATGTGCGGCCTCCTTCTCTCTACATGGTGAAAAGTGCTTACAAACAGTTCTAGATTTATCTTTATTTGATTAGGCAATAAGCGAGTTTGGGTCGAGAAGCAGAAGGTGTTGAAGTAATAAATATTCATGGGTCAGTTGAGCTGCACAGTCCAAAAATAATATCTTTTGAGGTTTACAAAAGTAAATGAAACTGTTCTTAAAAAGGAGGAAGAAATTGTATTTTTAGCATTCCGATAAGTACTAGAAACTGCTTTCCAATTCTTTTATTAATTTGATATTTGTATTTCCTCTGTTTAGTCTTAATGGCAAGCCAGCACTTTAAAAATGTGTCAGTTTCATCTCAATAATGTACATATCAAGATCGAAGCGAAGTGCTAGTTATGGATAAAATGTATATTATAGTAACAGTTCTAAACTGATTATCACATCTAGTTTTCCCAGTGTGAAATTCGAGATCCCAGTTGGCTCTGCCTGCTGCATTTGGCAAGTTTCCGCTTGGCTGTCATACAAATTTAAATTCAAAATTTCAGGCCTGGGTGAGAAGCTCTTTGCTTTTCCCACTGGTGACCAACTGTTGAGGTAACCTTTGATATAGCTGCTCCACTGACTCGAAAATGGCATCTGGAATCGATCTGAGCCGCGAGTGCCGGCACGTCTTCGAGCAGATTCGCAAGCTGAAGCAGCATCGCTATGCGGTGTTCGTCATCCAGGACGAATTGGTGGTCAAGGTGGAGAGGCTGGGAGTGCGGGAGGCGAGCTACGACGACTTCCTGGAGGATCTGCACCGGGCGGGCGCCAACCAGTGCCGCTTCGCCGTCTACGACTACGCGTACCAGCACCAGTGCCAGGGCGCCTCGTCCACCTGCCTCAAGGAGAAGCTGTTTCTGATGCTCTGGTGTCCCACGCTGGCCAAGGTCAAGGACAAGATGCTCTACTCCAGCACGTTCGCGGTGCTCAAGCGGGAGTTTGCCGGCGTCCAGAAGTGCATCCAGGCCACCGAGCTGGACGAGGCCTGTCGCAATGCCGTCGAGGAGCAGCTGCGCTCGTTGGACAGAGAATAGTCCTCCAGCTCCACCTCCAGTTCCTCCTCCGCCCACATGAAATACAGCCCGGCTCATCCAGCCAGCCACATTTAAATTGCCTCTGGTGTCGGGTTTTCTTTTTGTGGCGCCTCTAAAGTCTGCCAGTGTCCAACCAGGGCCGCCCCCTCCTTTTACTTAGCCCGGGCTCGTCTTTCGTTGCCGAGGCCCCGATTTAATTTGATTTCGCCCCGCATCTAATGAGCCCATTTGGCATATGGATGCCTCTTGACGCTTGCCACGGGTATCAGGTATAATTTGTTTTGTCCCCAGCCTCCTCCTTCGCTCATTATCTGGGCCCGTCTAAAAATATATACATTCTTTCGCCTCAGCCGGCTGCGAGGGCAAAGTTTTGGCATTCAGACTTTTTATCTCATCCATAAATCACGACCAAGTTGAAATTCGCCCTCCTCCTGGCCCCGCGGTCTTCCATATCATTTGGCAGAAGTTGGGGAATTAATCAAATTGACGAGGAGCACGTCACCAGCCCCAATTGCTACACTTCAAACAAGATTGTGAATTGAATGTACTCAGCGTTTATTGATCTGGTGAATTCACTTGGACTGGCGTAACCCGTTGTGATTTCCCATTTATCTTTCAAGTTGCTTGATGGTAGCAATGTGCAACGATTGCAGGACATCGTCCTTTGTGTGTGTCTCCAGTAGTGTTGTCAACTGCTTAAGGTAGTTTAGACGGCTACTTTGCTCCCCAAGTGGTACTTTAACATAATAAATATACAAGTTTACAAAACTGGATAAGCGTATATATTTCAAATAATAGCTAAGCGTACATTAAAAGCAATATGAAACGTCTCGACTATTAGATGCCCTTTACTCTGTTTTAATTTTAAATAATATAAATTCTGACTATGCCAAAGCCTGTTTAAGTTAGTTAGTCATAACCTTTAAAACAACAATGCCATTGGTACGATTGTCAGCATTTACAAAGGTATTGATAAAAAAATCTATTTTAAAAATTGGTAACTGTATAAAATTGTACTTTTCTATTAAAAATGATTGTATAAGTATTCGTTTTTGCTTTGTTTACTACTTAATAGTTAAGCCACTATCAATATATTTTGTTATTGCAATAGTAAATAGTTAATTGACTAAAATAGTTTTCATATCGTAATATCTTCCACTCAAAAGTATGAAACAATAACTTTACAAATTTTTTTCAATGTGTTGCTTATAATTCCCAACTGGGTCTATCGTCTCGTACAACTAGAATCCCAAGCCAAACTCTGAAAATTTAAGACTACTTATAACATATATTCTCTAAAGGCTTCAACATACTTCCACACAAGCTGGAAGACACTTTTAAGGAGGGGAATTTTAGAGTTATCTGTTTTATTTTGTTAAAAATTACCATGCTACAGTAACGTTTCTATGAATTTTATTAATAGTTTTAAAATAGTAATAGTTATATATAAAAAAATTCACTAGCTATATCTTATTGGTTGGATAACAATGTACAAAAATATGGTATAATACGTACCAATGGAACAGTATTTGAGGAACGACACCATCTAAGGTCGGAAAAGAGAAAGTGGGCAGCATTTGCGTGTTAATTTTATCGGCGTGCCCGAACTGTCGTTGTTGACGCTACGCATATCCGTCATATGCCTGGGAAACATAAAGGAAGAGCTGATATCACTCGGCAGACGGGAAAACGGGAAAAACCCAATGACAAGGACGGGGACGTGGCTGAAATAGAAAAGGAAGGGGCGGAAAATGAGGAAGGCGAGCCGCAGCAAAGTTTTCCAAATGAAGCGAGCGGAACACAGCAGATAAAAAACCTCAAAGAGATGCAGTCATAAATTTGCCGCCTCCCCCGCTCCTTTGCCACAACAAATGTGGCAAAATCAAAGCAAAACGTTGCGAAAGGAAAGGCAAACAGCAGGACGGGGAATTGGGGCACGAAACCCGGGAAAATCCACGCAAATCTAGTGGAAAATTAAAATTTGCCAATTTATGCGAACGTCAGGGCGGCAGAGAAGCCGTTAAGAAGTGACAGCGAAGGGCAGACACGAAGGCGTCTCTAAATGGCCAAAACCGGTTACGTCTACCCTTGGGATATTTGATTTCTGGTTTTTGGCCAAGAGATCCGCGGCAACTTCGCACGCACGCAGCGGAAATGAGTTTACCTTTGAGCCTGGACGGAAATGAAGCTTTTAGTCCGGGACGGGACATGCATGCAAATGCATCTGGTTTCGGCCCTTAAGTCCTCCGAATATTGGCCACTTTCGCAGCAGCTGCAAGCTGCAGACCACAAAAAGTCCATTAAAGTCCAGGTCATAAGTGCCCGCTTTCCTGCTCTTACCCCAGCTAATCCGCTGGAGTACCTGGAACACCAATCCGACCACCATTTGGGATTTACATCTTTTCCTACCCTTAACTGCGTTAATGGAAGCGGATGTGCGACATCTTGTTGGCAATCTAATTATCCATTGGTATTGGGTAGTGGGTAGTGGATGCCAGATCTCGAAGACGATTTAACTCGTAATGCGTTTGTCAATGGCCAAAACTTTCCCGATTGCCGTCTCTCCTAACAGTTTCCCCCAAGCCACCGTCCCCAGTGGACCATTTCTAGCCAGCTAAGCGGCTTAGGTGATGGCCAAATCCGAGACAGATGTCGCTCACCGGGATCCGTGAAAGTCGCGCATTCCAGGAGGATTCCGCCCCATCCCACTGTCACTTTCACCGCCCCACCCACCGCGTTCTATTTAATTATGCTTGTTGTGCTAATGAAATTGAATTTGTTAAGCAAAGTCGATGCCTGCTGTCAAACTTTGTTTGGCCCAGTCATTGCTGGGGAACTGACAAGGCTATCCAGTCATTAATGGTTAGCTCCTCATCCTTGATTTGGAGTCGGAGTTTCCCCCAAGGGATGTTATAATGCATAGAATGGATGCGCACTTTAGTAAGTAGCCACGTCTGCTCCTCAAAAGTCAAAACCACTCGGTTGCAACTTTGTTTACCTAGTGTGGCACCTAATCTGGGGCATCACCCGTCCAAAAAACTGCGAGGTTGGCAGCTATGTCGACTCCGAGTTTTCTAATTTGGAATGCAAACAACTGAAAACAACTGCAAGGATGAGAATTTTCGCGCTACGTTTGGCTCCGAGCAGATGGTTTCGTGGACAAGCTAGTTTGTAGTTTTAAAAAATCCCCGGCCTGGCCAATGCAGTCTGGAAAAGTTACACTCTTTAATGCCTTGAAACTGTCCTGACATAAAAAGAGAAGTTCTGTGCACCGTTTTCAAGAATTTCCCCTTGATGTACCTTTAAATGTGAGCCAGCCGATAGTTTTCGCATAAGGAGATCTTTAGGACCCAGAACGCTGCTCAATTACACTTAAATTGGCTCCCTGTCGAACTTGCAACTCCTGTCTAGCAACGCCAACTCCTGCCAGGATCAATTTGTGTCCGAGGTCCGTCGGGCCATCGAAGATGCGAATACGAATATGCTAAGTGTATGCAAAGTGCCGTGACAGGCAGATACGGAATTGTTTCCTTCGGAAGATGTTGCGTGTTGGGGGTGCTTCTTACAAGGCACATTGGCCATCAGTCCTGCAACTATTGATAAATAAATAGAATGTAGTTCGTTAAAAATGATGTAAAATGATAATAAATAAACAATTGATGTGGCTAATAATAATGGATTGTGTTCAACGGACCCCAATTTCGGTTGGGTGAAGACAGTTGGGTCAAAGAATTGCCTACAAGGGTTGGTCACCTCTCATCAAAGACAAATAATAATCATGCGTTTCATGTGGTAATACGCATATATTAAAGGCCATACAAAACTGAACACAAAAAGGTTCAATCAATCCAGACTGGAGTCATGAAGTTTTATAGTATATTAATTTGATATCTGAATTTAATAGGAGTTCAGGTTGGGTAATCTATAAAATATAGCTCTAATTAGTTTTAAGGTAGCTTCTTCAAAGAGCACTAAAAAGTTTTTAAGCTAGAAAGAAATAGATATTTTCCAAAGTTATAACTAAAATACATGTTTAAATGCAGATTAATGGGCACTTAAGCCAAAAACTTTAAGAATAGTACCACTTTGAAACGATGATTTAATTGGCCAAGTTATGGGAAAACCAAAGAGCTTAATTTATGTAAAGAATGTTGGTTTATTCAGAGAAAAGGTTCTTGGTTTTTGGGTCGTCGCGAGCCCGGGAACCCAAAGAAATGGCGATTCAGCCCAATGTGCGTTGGCCGACGAGCCTGGAATTCGAGCCAACGGGGTGCGGGCACCGTTGGTCTGCCAACTAGCAGACCCGGGATGTCCAGGTCCAGACACTCGTCTGCTTCAGCTCGCCGACAGAAAAATTGGGAGCTGCTTGGAGCTTAATTTGAATTGCAAAGCGATGCCAGATGAAAATGGTACAAAGCCAAGGACGAGACCGTCTCCTTCAAGTGAATGCCTCCGCCATACATGTGCTTTTTTTTGTTGTTGCTATATGGGCGGCCATCGCAAAAAGTTCATTTATATTTGAAAATTGGCATTTTTACGGCTTGACGCTTAAATATTTAATATGCTGCCCAATTTTAGAAATTGAGAGTCCGTTCCCAGATATGCCTAAAAATGCGGTCACGGATCTAATACGACGCGATTAGGGATATATATGTGTTGTGTGCCTGTGCCTGTGGCTGTGGCATGAAGTGGAGCATAGGGTTCGGGGTCTGTGAACCATGGCGGTCTGTTGGGGTCACCAAACTGTCTGCCTAGTCCATGTGGCGCCCCCAGGGGCAACCGCAGGCCCAATTGAGCTGAAATTGTGATTGCAGGGTACTCCTGGCATTCTCGCGGCCAGCAGAAGCCTTTAAGGAACAGCGACCCCGTGGAGAAGTACCCATAAATCCCTGAGTTGTCTCCAGGGATCCATCAGCAATTAAACTTCGGTGAACCTCCTACCAACATATCCGACATACTCAGCCCATCCTACCCGTACAACCCATCCAAAACATCTCCAAACAAACTTTATTATCTGAACCGAAAGTTCAAGGGGCACTCGTCACGTGGTTTTGGGGCAAATT